AATAATTCACAAAATTATACAACCAAAAGACTCCTTAAAAATTTTCTAGATGTATTATATATATATATAACACTATATAACCTGATAATCATTTTTTCTCATGCTTAGAAAGACCACAGAAAAAGTATTAAGTTTGAAGAGCAATATTTCATGCTTGATAAAAATCATCTAACTCTAGGATATATCCAAAATAATTAGTCATATTAAAATTCTATAAGAGGGGCGCCTGGGTGGCTCACTTGTTAAGCGTCTCCCTTCAGCTCAGGTCATGGTCTCAGGGTTCTGGGATCGAGCCCCACATCGGGCTCCCTGCTCTGTGGGAAGCTTGCTTCTCCCTCTCCCACTCCCCCTGCTTGTGTTCCCTCTCTCGCTGTGTCTCTCTCTGTCACAAAAATAAATAAAATCTTTTAAAAAAATTAAGTTAAATTAAAAAAATTAAAAAAAATAATATTCTGTAAGAGAAGTATAAGGGGTTTGGAATACAGAAAATATTCCTATTCTATAAACTGAATTTTCGTAAATTATATAATATGAAGTCACTGTTGAAAAATCTGGTGTGGTGCATACAGAAAAAGATTCTCTTTAAAAAGGAAGGTTAATAGCATGCATGCAAGGTACCTTACAAAGATTCACTGCATTAGCAACATCTTGGTTCATAGCACAAGGATCATCAAATCAAATGTTTATATAGAATATGGGACAAGGTGACATACGAAATCTCTTGGTAATATTCAGATCAATTTGAGGGTCCAAGATTTGAACACTCAAGCTCAACGGGACCAAAATCCAAAACCTAATAACTAGCAATTTTGTTGGTAATAAGATAGAGTGCCAGTGTAGCAGGTAACTTCCTTTAGCAACTCAGCAGATATTAAAAGTATTCTAAAATTTGCATAAGACATGACATCAAACTGAACACTTTAAATATACTTTGTTAAACAATCAGTACACTGTCGACCTAAACTCATTTTTTCAAATGGTCGCATATTACATTGTTTTATAGGGGTGACAACTTACTTCCTTATCGACAGATATTTAGACTATCTCCAACTTTTTGATATGAGAATGCTATAATAAACATCCTCAACATATCTGTCATATTTTATATATATAATAATGTACAATAAACGTCCTTAGAATATGTGTGTGTGTGTGTGTGTGTGTGTGTGTGTGTGTGTGTGTGTGTGTGTTTACACCAGTCATGTTTTCCTAGAGGATCTAGTCCTGGCAATGAAGCGTTGGAATAAAGGGACAGCATCTGGGGCGCCTGCGTGGCTCAGTCGTTAGGCGTCTGCCTTCGGCTCAGGTCATGATCCCAGGGTGCTGGGATCGAGCCCCGCACTGGGCTCCCTGCTCCGCAGGAAGCTTGCTTCTCCCTCTCCCTCTCCCCCTGCTTGTGTTCCCTCTCTCACTGTGTGTCTCTCTCTCTGTCAAATAAAGAAATAAAATCTTTTAAAAAAATAAATTTAAAAAAGGAACACCACATTTAAAATTTTTGAAACACACTGCTAAATCACGCTTCAGAAAGGATTTACCAATTTCATCTAACAACAGTGTATAGGAATGCCTTTTTCCTCACATTTGCTAACTTTGGGTATTAATTTTTTAATAAAATATTTACCACAATGACTGCAAAAAATGATATCTCGTTATTTGCATTTTCTGATTAGCACCCAGGACGGAATAGCCCTACTAAAAATATAAAATTTGTTAATCATGAATGTTAGCTCCAACTAGAATTTGTTTTATAGGAAAATAATAATTACCTACTATTTAAATATTGCTATAGGCTCACCCATCAGAATCTTCCTTTTTCCCAACAGGAAAGAGGTGGTTTTCAGTTTTTCCACTCTCTCTTTGTTGAATTAGTCCAGCAGCAGCAGCAGGGAAAGCACACAAGTTTTCGAATACTGCCATCCCATTACTTTGGTGTCTCTTCTTTTCTTCATTAATCTTTAATAGAAATTTCATATTAAGGATAATTGTTACTACTTTGTTCATTAAAAAGAACTTTTTTCATTAATTATACATTTTTTAAAGATTTTATATATTTATCAGAGAGAGAGCACAAGCGGGAGGAGAGAAGTGCAGAGAGAGGGAGAAGCAGGCTCCCGCTGAGCAGGGAGCCCGATGCAGGACACGATCCCAGGACCCTGATATCAGACCTGAGCTGAAGGCAGACTCTTAAGGACTGAACCACCCAGGCATCCCAGAACTCTTTTTCATTAATTATAACATTTGACTCTTAGTCTGTCGTAAATTTAATCGATAAAAATATTTTGTGTTTAGCTTTATCATTATAAATAATTGCAATTTTTATAAATTCTGCTTCATTTCTGTTTGAGTAAAAATAGCAGAACTGGGACGCGTGGGCAGCTCAGCTGGTTAAGCGTCTGCCTTCGGCTCGGGTCTGATCCAGGGTCCTGGGATCGAGGCCCGCATCAGGCGCCTTGCTCAGGGGGAAGCGTGCTTCTCCCTCTGCCTGCCGCTCCTCCTGCTTGTGCTCTCTCTCTCTCTCTCTCTCTCTGTCTGACAAATAAATAAAATCTTCAGAAAATAATTAATTAATTAAAACAGCAGAATTTTCCCAAATTTGAAAAAGGGCTTTCTTAATTTTGTATTCATATCCACGCTTTGTTCCCTACCATTCCCCACCCCACCCCATCTGACCAGCAGATACAAAGAAATAAAAAGACAAAGACACAAAATGTGTCGTCTTCTGTCGTTAGCACCTGGATTTTGCAAAAACAGCCATATTTAAAAGATGTGACATTGTGGTGCTCCAGGAACAAACACAAGTTTTCCTCTTTCTGCACTGAGCTATTTTTTCCCCAACTGCCTTTTACAATTCTTTTTTCATTTGGATCCTAGGGCTATCAAAAAAGTGACAGCATTCATTAAAATATATGAACCAAAGTTCACCACAACACAAAAAGAACAGAGTGAAACTGATGTTAGTGTAGAATTTTGGGAAATGAGTAATGCTCCCCAAATTCCACATTCAATAACCATAAAATTTTATAGCTAGAGGATATAAAAGTAATTATCAACTTTAATCCTATTTTCCACTGATAAATGGGAGTAAAACCAAAAAAGGTTAATTTTCTCCAAAGTTCCTAAAGTGGCATTACCTAGCATCTTATGGCACCGAAAGAGATGATACAATTCTTTGATGCTGAATCAGGTAAGTTATCAAACACATTCATTAAATTAATCAGATACATTAAAAGTATGACACTGGCACAGTAATTTAATATCTTAATTGGGGACAAGGTGCTTAGCTACTTCTTCTTTTAGAGGAGGATATCTCTAGATTTTTGTCTATTTTTAAAACTCAATTCACCTCAAAAGTCCGTTTTCTCCCTTCGAGTTAAATACTGAAGGTTTCTGAAGGTTTCTGATACCTACATTATAAAAATCATACATGTCAAAATGTACCATACTTTATTAAACATAATATGAAGGTTTGACTCAACAGAAACATGTGAGAATGGTGACCAAAAAAAGTGGAGGGGGGCGCCTGGGTGGCTCAGTCAGTTGGGCCTCTGACTCTTGATTTTGGCTCAGCTCATGATCTCGAGATTGTGGGATTGAGACCCGCATAGAGACTCCATGCTCAGTGGAAAGTCTACCTACCTCCCTACCTCTCTCTCTCTCTCTCTCTCTCTCTCTCTCTCTCCCCCCTCCCTTTGCCCCTCCCTGTGGCTCATGCTCTCTCAATAAATAAATAAATCTTAAAAAAAGAGTCTGTTTTTAAAAAATGTGGAGGAAGACAGTGATAATCCAAATATTTATTATTAAAAATATCTCAACGTGGTCCTGTTGGAATTCTAAGTTCCAAGAGTACAAAGCAGAAAAGATTGCACATACTGAAACAATAAATAGGTTTAGCTGAAATATTTGTTTATATCTTTTCTCTTAGTCATTGCTTCTTTCCCATTTTATTGTTTATGGAAATGCAGTTTATATTTAAGCCAATAGATAAAAATAAAAACCCTAGAGAGGGGGCACCTGGATGGCTCAGCGGTTAAGCGTCTGCCTTCAGCTCAGGTCATGATCCCAGGGGCCTGGGATGGAGCCCCATGTCAGGCTCCCTGCTCAGCAGAGAGTCTGCTTCTCCCTTTTTCTCTCCCTCTGCCTCTCCCCCGGCTCATGCTCGTGCACACACGTGCGCGCTCTCTCAAATAAATAAAGAAAGAAAACTTAAAAAAAAAACAAAACACTAGAGATTATTATATATTTTTTAAAGATTTATTTATTTGAGAGAGAGAGAGCGAGAGCATGAGCAGGAAGGGCAGAGGGAGAAGGAGAGAGAAACTAAAGCACACTCCACACTGAGCACAGAGCCAAACGTGGGGCTCAATCTCACGAACCTGAGATCAAAACCCAAGCCAAAACCAAGAGTCGGATGCTCGACTGTGCCACCCAGATGTGCCAAGATAATTGCATTTTTTTAAAGTTTTTTTTTTTTAAAGATTTTATTTATTTATTTGACAGAGAGAGACACAGAGAGAGATGGAACACAAGCAGGGGGAGTGGGAGAGGGAGAAGCAGGCTTCCCACTGAGCAGGGAGCCCGATGCGGGGCTCCATCCCAGGACCCCGGGATCATGACCTGAGCCGAAGGCAGATGCTTAACGACTGAGTCACCCAGGCGCCCCGATAATTGCATTTTTTAAGGAATTTTCTTTACGGTTACTCGGGTTCATAAGGTCACATGGTGCATAGCTAACTTCGTTCCCAAGTTCACATGCCACTTGGGAGACTGACGGAGAAACCTAAGGAAAACAAATCATAAGAATGTTTTCCTGCACTCCTATCATTTAGATAGCAGAAATAAGCTATTTCCGAACACAATCACGTATTTAGACAACCCCATTTTATACACGATCTCTTCTCCTAAGTGGAAAATCAAAATGACTCAGATAACTGATAAAGAGAAAAAAACAAAAGAGCAGCAGCAAAGTGAACCTCTTACCTCTTTCTGAAGTTGAACTTTCTCTTTTTCCAAATCCAGGAAGTCTATCTGTAACATGCCTATCTCGTTCTTAACCTTTTGAACATCTTGCTGTATTTCTTCTTTTAGATATACTTCTGATGTTCCGTAACTACATGGTGGAGAAGAACTCTCATTTTCTACTTCGGGTTCCATACTTCTATAGTTATTAGTACTGTCATTATCTGCACAGAATGGCTTCCGGAACAAGTCTTTTGTCTTCTTGTAAGTGTCTGTAACAGCAGAACTATTGTGCCTTTTTATTTCAGCCATCTGTCTCACCTCATTGGAGCTGGAAAACCTTTTGTCACAAAGGCTTTCCGAATGACTAGACTGAGGTATATGTCCCATCTCTAATTTAGAATTAGTGCTATTTTGGTTCATACTTTTTGCCATTGGCATGTCAAGCTCTTGGTCTTCTTTCACTTCAAACATAGTGAGTGGGTTCCTTACTTTTTTATTTTCTGTATCACTTTTAAAACTCTTATTTTTGTTAAAAACATGCTCAGTGTCTGGTTTGTGGCCATTTTCACAGTCCGATTTATTTTCACTTAAAGCAAAATCAGAAGATGACTGCCAAGCATATTTGAGACTAGACGTTTTTTGTTCAGCAAATGCCTGAAATACTAGAGGGACAGGCACTGCAAATGTATCCCTTTTCTCACAATCGAGTCTGTCATTTGTCAAGTTAGAAGGTATTTCCATTACATTTGCTCCTTCTTTAAAGTTACCATGTAGTGACTCTTCCTTAGGATA